CCCGTGTGTTTTGGAGCAACATGGAGGGATTGTGACATTTGGATGAGCTAAAAATTAATCTTTAATATCTCAGAAAGCAAAGCAGCACTAACGAAAATTTTAACGGCACAAACCAGCACTAACGGAGCACTAACCATTCAGACTAGTTGATTTAATTTTGGAAGTGGGTGGGGTGTCAGCTTCACTCAGCTACCCACAACATCCTGAGTTTAGGTCAGCAGCACACCACCTCCACTATAAACAGTGTTGGTGGCGTACCGCTTTCCCCCCCTGAGATGCCGGATGGTGGACCAGAATCGCCTCAAAGCCGTGCGGAAGTCGTTCTCCATGGCCTCTCTGAACTCCTCCCATGCCCGAGTTTTTGCCTCAGCAACCACCCGAGCCGCATGTCGCTTGGACTGCCGGTACCCATCAGCTGCTTCCGGGGTCCCACAGGCCAAAAAGGCCCGATAGGACTCCTTCTTCAGCCTGACAGCATCCCTCACTGATGGTGTCCACCACCGGGTTCGAGGGTTGCCGCCGCGACAGGCAGCGACAACCTTGCGGCCGCAGCTCCGGTGAGCCGCCTCGACAATAGAGGCACGGAACATGGTCCACTCAGACTCAATGTCCCCCACCTCCCCCAGAACATGTTCCAAGTTCTCCCGGAGGTGAGATTTGCATTTATCAACTACATTAATGTCATAATTTTATTTATAATGGTTTTCACATAACATCCATAGGAAGTCATCAGTTGCCTTTGTACCCACCAGTGTTGCACGACGTTCTTCATGTCACCGTTTGATTTCACGAGTACTGAATGTGACGTGGAGTCAGAGCCTTTAATTTGTTGGGGCCCTTACTTCCTGCCTGAAGGACTGAAATGGTTGAAATGACTGAGTGATCCCATTTGTCGTTTGTAGATGATATAACAGCACCGTGTTGCATCATCTTGTTAGCGTCGAGCACAATAATCATAAGGATAATTTAATCTCACCCATAAATTCATGAGTCACTAAATGTATCAGAACAATCAGCTGTATTAGTTTATTTGAGGAAGACCCTCAAACAGGGAGGAATGTATGATTTAAGACATTGAAATGTGCACGTCAGTGACCTGTTCAGAAGGGGGTCAAAGACACAGGGTGAAAGGTAAATGGATGGCCCTTAGAGTCTGTTCCCCTCAGGGACAGGGAGCCAAGGTGGAGGTGGGGGCGTACGGGACAACTTTACAACAACACGAGACTCCTGAGCTGAAACGGGGAGTGTAAGAAGGTCAGAGCAGGAGGGCCTTCACTCGGAACAACAAAGTTTTACATTAGAGTGACTCTACTGAATCAAAGTGTGTTGGTTAAAGATCCAAGTGTCCATGAAGAAAACGGCACACGTTCAAACAAACACCACCACAACCACAACTCACCAGGGTTGGTCTGCGGGGGCTCGAGCTGAACGAACGCTCCATCATCTGGACACAGCTTAGCCACGGGTGGGGGGTCTAGCCCGAGCTCCTTCAGCCGAGCCAGCTTGTCCCTCCTGGGTTTGGTGGGTCCGGCTGAAGGCTCTGGAACAGGCTCACACAGAGGTTCTGGCTGGTGGACTTCAGAACCTGCTGAAGTCTGGCTGTGGTCGGGTGTCGAGGCTGCAACTTCAGCACCGAGCGACTCCTGCAGACTCTCAGAGAGATACAGCATCGGACTGGACTCTGGCTCGGGGTCCGGGTCTGAGCCCTGGTTCTCCTGCTGAGGGGAGGAGGTGGCTGCAGGCTCGAGTAGAGGCTGTATCTGATTGGACGACAGATCCAGAGGGGGAGGAGCCTCCTGCTCAGCGTCCATGGTAACAGGAGGAGGCGTCTCCATCATCACCTCTGAGTACTTTATGGACCTGAGACGAGTCAGAACTTTATAAACATCATGAGAAACACAAAGAAACCATCAGATGAAGCTTGTCCAACAAGTTCAACCAAGAGTCATCTTTGCAGGCTCCTCTGACCACTCTTTAAGACCCCTGCAGCTCTTAAAAGACCTTTAAAGATACAAGTGATAAACTTAAAGTGTGTTCTGCTGGTCAGGATAACATTCATACATTTCTTGTCCAACAGGTGAAGCAGTTCATTTTGAAACCACTTCATTATATTTTTTCTTTACCTCTAAAAACTGGGATTGCACCAGACCATTTGAAAGTTATTCCTCAGTTCACGTTCCACTGTTTTGATCATTACAGACCTATATATCAGTTCTGCCATGTTTTTCAAATACTAGAAAAAATTGTGTATAAATGATTCTCCATTATTTAGACCATAAATCAATTCTTTACAAACACCAATATGGTTTAAGAAAGAATCACTACATATTTGGCTTTGCTTCATCTGGATGACAATGTTACCTCTGCACTTGAAAATAATGAATTCTCCTGTAACATTTTCATTTATTTATCTAAAGTATTTGACACTGTCAATCATCACGTCTTAATACAAAAACTTTACAAGTATGGATTTCATGATATCGTTTACAAACGGTTGAATAGTTATGTTTGCAATAGGCAGCAATTTGTTAGCTTTAAGGGTTGCAATTCTAACAGAGCCAAGATACTTTGTGGAGTTCCTCAAGGCTCCATTCTTGGACCATTGTTATTTCTGATTTACATAAATGATTTATCAAATCTAAAAAAGTTAAATCTGGTCCTCTGGACATTCTAAAAAACAAAACAAAGCAAAACAACAAAAAAATGTAGAAACGTTTCGTCTCTCATCCAAGAGACTTCCTCAGTCTGAGGAAAAAAAAAAAAAAAAGAAAAACAAACATCATCAACGCCAGCGCATCAGATGAACCCACTTTGGCCTGGTTCTGGAGCAGAACGGGTCTGATTACGGTTCTTACTTCAGTAAGGCCATGGAGGGCCCATCAGGACGGGTTCTCCTCTTGTAGAACTGGTCGATGGTCTTTGGACCAGGGAGGTGGTACGGCAAACCGAGTGTGGACTCTGCAAAGGCAGACAGACGGGTCAAAGTGAGTGGTGGTGCAGTGAGACGGGTCAGAGTGAGTTGCAGTGAGACGGGTCAGAGTG